TTGCACTAGACCTGGTCAGGATTCTGGCTGCTGAATTTTGGACATACTGCAGTTTGTTCAAAGTAGATTTAGATACCCGAGTGAGTAGAGCATTACAGTAGTCAATTTGAGAGAACAAAAATGTGTTGATCAGGTTTTTGGCTGCAGTTAGTGATAGCATAGGGCATGGTCTAGCGGTATTTCTGAGGTGAAAGAAAGATTTTCATCTCAGAAAAACCTCAGAACCTCACAAAAAGTAATGCGAAAAGTTCAGTGGTACAAATTTAAAAGGAGTCTGGATAAAAAGAAAACTTTCCCAACTCTTGGTCTCCAGTAAGAATCTGATATTTGATGGCGGCTGTTAGTTATTCAGATGCTTCTTGCTTCTACTGTACAGAAAACCTGCCATTTGCAATTTGATGTTCTTGAGTGGTTTGAACATTCACTTTAGTTCTGGATCCAACTAAGCTTTCCATTTCTTATTTTATTTCTTTGAAATTAAAAATTAACACTTATCCCTTAAGGTTTCCTAGGATGGACATGATGTTGCTTCAATCACGTGCATGCTTTAAAATATCAGATGTGCAGTATCTTGAAAAGAATCTAAATTCTAAATTATATCGAAATGAGCAGGTAATAAAAATAAAAGGACTTGAGTCTTCAAGCAGAAAGGTGAAAAAGGCACAAGTGCACATGAACTTGTTAAATTAAAGTTTGAATCCCAAAAGTTAAATCAAATGTTTGTGTGTTGTCATCTTTCTCCTGGTAGGAGCTGACAGTAGGTTATACCTTTGCTGTGGTTCGTCAATGGCGACGGTTGTGCCCAAACGCTTGGGGAAACGCTCTTTGCTGGGGACCTTGGTGTGCGCCCCATGTCCCTCTGGAGATGGCCTGCTTGTCCCAGGGCAGATTGAAGCTGTGCATTCGGAGCCTGGCGGAGCAGTGAGGTCATGCACTGTAGCCCTGGAAGATGGGCAGCTGCAGGAATACTCTCAAGATAGCATCGTGGGGCCTGGTTTCCAAAGCCTCAGTCGCTTCAAGCTGTACCCAGGACAGAAGGTAAAGGCCGGGGTTCTTCAGAGGTAGTTTAAGGGAATCCAAATCACAGCAGATTACTTTCAACAGCTGCTTATCCAATTCAGGGTCATGGTGCCCTGGAGCCTATACCTGGAAGGACAAGACAGGATACACCCTGGAAGGGACACCAGTCCATTGCAGGCCATACGCTGACACAGACACAAATTCACACATTCACTCCAGGACGAGTTTTCCCAGAAGCCAACTAACATACCAGTATGTCTTTGTACTCTGGGGAGAAACTGGAGCACCTGAAAGAAACCCACACGAATGCGAGGAGAACCTACAGATAGACGCTAATAATTGAATCCAGGGCTTCAGTACTGCAAGGCAGCATTGCTAACCACTGCCTCACCAAGCTTCCCTTCAATGAAAGTATCAAATTCAAAGGGTTTTATTGACATGATCGACGATTTACATTGTTGACAAAGCAGATACAATTAACACAATATTCACAGTAAAACATATTATTAAGCATTTTTCATACATATATAATTGGATCTATTGTGAGACAGGTTTACTGTCTGTTCCTCAGAGTGTGACAGGAGATCACATACTGGGCTTCCAGCTCGACTGAGTTTCCATTCCATCCTCCCAGTTATAAGGGAAGCTATTTTCATTCTGGCATTTGTGGAGATTCTGTTTTTTTTTTTATTTAAGGGAGGAATGTTATAGTAATTCCAGAGTATTTCTTGTCAGTGCGTTTTGTTTCTTCTTTCTGACTGGTTCTCTGGGTATCATCTTTGAGATTAACCACTTCGTAGTTCTAATTAGCATATCATTTGCGCTGGTGTCTCTTAGTTTGCAGCATTGCCAGAAATCACTCTTAAATAGCAGCCCGTACCATAATAGTTTGACCTTCACTTAATTGCTTCATGGGAATTCATTAAAGCACGGTCATATATCAGCCATATTTATTACATTTCTTGTTGCATTTCGTATTCTGAAAACCCTGCGCAGATCTTCATTGAGAGGAAATGCTTTAGGCATTTATCAGTGTTGCAAGCACATGTGCTTACACAGTTCCTAAAAATGTCGCAGTACCCTGAGTTATAGTTCTGTTTCATTTCTCATTCAGAGACCGCCTCCAAACTCCTTAACTTACAAGCATCAAGTTTGTTGACCTTATCTGTGGTCTACACATAGACTCAAGCAGCTTCATCTCAGAAAGAGTAGTTTAAATTAGATATCGGATCTCGGAGACATTTTGTGAGCGTAGGTTTGTGATATTGTAGCACTGGGTTATGTCATTATGTCATTCAAGTGTATACGTTATGTGTTAACAAGAAAGCATTAACAGTAAATGGTGGTCATTTATTTTGGAGATGGTTTCTTAATTCAGGTATTTGTAGATTCTTGACATTTTTGGTAAAAGGCGTCTGACACTTGTGGTCTACACATAGACTCAAGCAGCTTCATCTCGGGAAAGAGTAGTTTAAATGAGATATCGGATCTCGGAGACATTTTGTGAGCGTAGGTTTGTGATATTGTAGCACTGGGTAATGTCATTTCTGTTTGGATTTCAAACTGGATTGAGCACATTGTGTCAAGAAAGTGTTTTGTGAATACAGTTTATTGTGGCCAAAGCACAAGCATGAAATAAAACAGGTGATTTAAGTTCCTTTTTTACATACATGATCTAAAAAAGGTGCAGCACTTAATCTGTTTGGACACTGCACTCTGTGAACACTGGTCTGCATACAGTATCTGTTTTCATAAGTGAAAGCTGATATTTGTTCATCAGTTTTGGCTTTAAACCCACTTTGTAAGCTTGGGTCAAATCCAGCCCTCAACTATTAAAGAGAATGAAAATGGAGGTAAGGAAACAGGGCTTCAACAAGACTTGCACATTGTCTTCCTCTGCTTTTTTTCCCAAGCATTCTGTACATATGTGTTTCTTAGTTA